CCTGTCTCTAAAAAAAAATAGGTGAGCATTGTGGTGGCGCCTGTAGTCCCAGCTACTCAGGAGGCTGAGGCAGGAGCCCAAGACTTTGAGTTTGCAGTGGTCTATGATGCCACAGCACTCTGCCGAGGGTGACAAAATGAGACTCTACCTCAAGAAAGAAAAAAAAAAGTACAAAAGAAAGAAAACCCCTACTACATTTTTCCAATTCAGATCAAGTATCTCTTACCTGAAATGCTTGGAGTCATAAGTGTTTAGGATACTGAATTTTTTCAAATTTTGCAATATTTGTAACTCACAGGTTAAGCACCCCAATTCAAAACTCTGAAATCCAAAATGTTCTAATAAACATTACCTTTGAGCATCATGTCCGTGCTCAAGAAGTTTGGGATTTTGTAGCATTTCAGATTTCAAAATTTTGGATTAGGAATGCTCAACCTGTACAAAAACAACATAAATTAACATTTATTTGCTGTGTACTAGAATTCAGACCTGTACTCTGTGTGTTAAGTATGTACATAGGGATGGCTCGTTTAAGTTTATTTTATTGTGCTTCACAGATAATGCACTTTTTACAAATTGAAGGTCTGAGGCAAACCTGCACCGAGTAAGTCTATTGGCACCATTTTCCCAACAGAATGTGGTCATTTTGTGTCTCTAACATTTTGACTATTCTTGTAATATTTCAGACTTTTTCATTATTATTGTATCTGTGATGGTGATCTGTAATCAGGGATCTTTGACATTACTATTATAATTGTTTTGGGGTGCCACAAACCATGCCCATATGAAGACAGTAAACTTAATAAATGTGTCTGTTCTAACTGCCTCACTGGCTACTTCCCTCTCTCTCTCCTCCCCAGGCCTCCTTATTCCCTGAGACACAACAATTTTGAAATTAGGCCAATTAATAACTTTACAATAGCCTCTAAGAGTTTAAGTGAAAGGAAGAGTAGCACATTTTTCATTTTAAACAAAAGCTAGAAATGACTAAGCTTAATGAAAGGGATGTTGGAAAGCCTCTCATGGTCTCAATAGAAATAAAATCAGCCACAACATTCCCTTAAGCCAAAGCCTAATCAAAGGCAAGGCTCTCAACATCCAGGCAAGATGCTCCAATAGCATAAAGATTACAATTTGCTGAGCTCAGATGACAGTTAGCAATTTTTAGCAATAAAGCATTTTTAAATTAAGGTCTATACATTTTTTAAGGCATAATGCTATTGCACACTTAAAAGACTCTAAAGTGATATGTGTAACTATTTATTGCAATAGTCCCTATATTACAGTCATCTGGACCTGAACCTGCAGCATCTCTGAGGCATGCCTTACACACACACACACACACACACAC